AATGTCCCCAAGCTCTGCTAGCATCTCCTCATTTCATGGAGATGAAAGTGATAGCATTAGCAGCCCAGGCTGGCCAAAGACTCCATCAAGCCCTGTAAGTGGCTCTGGTTTTTTTGGTTTTTATTTATTTTTTTGTAATTAATTATATTTTAATGCTTGCTTGTTTGTTTTGTAAATTCCTTTTCTTCATTATTTATCCACTAAACAGTTTTCTTTCTTTATAACACTGGGTACAAATTCTGCTCTCGGACACATGACTGTAAGTTCCACTGCCTGGCTTCAGTGGGGCCTGAGCATGCTTATCCAAGGGCAAAATTTGTCCCAACGGTACTTTGAAATAAGAAAGAGTAAAATTGCGTGCATCATGCAAGTGTGCTGTCTGGTAATACAGCAGTTGTTGTGAAGAAAACATCTTTCCTGTAATGCATCAGCTTCCAAGCATGCCGACTGTGTTGTTAAGGACAATTCCATTTCTGTTCCTGGGCCCAAACTCCTTCACACAACTGACTTCACTCTGGTTGCTGCACTTGTCTTTGCTAGGATTATTTAGGGGGAAAAAAAAAAAACCAAAACAAAACAAAATGAGAAATCTTCTCCCCTATCGAAACTAAGATCCATCAAAGTGTAAATTGTAGACTCAGGGCCATGAAAAAGCTGCCATGCATCTTTTCGAAACATTTTGAATTTTGAATTGTGTATTTGGAAATACAGTCATTAGATTATCAGGGCACAGTCTAAATCAAAATTGTTTCTGATTTGCTTCATTCAGTTATTTTGAAATAACCCAGATTGTGGGTAGAAAAAAACCTGATGCATGTATGTTTTTAGAAAACTATTTTTTAGATTAATAATGTTTAGTCATTCTCATACAGGTTGTAAAGAAAAACCTGAGTGAGATGTGTGGAGATCAAAATGAATTTTGTCATGTATATATATATCTATATATATATACACACACATAGGAAATATACATACCTCTATAGAAAAGAGAATGCAGACATAAGCTGATATGGCCTATGGGGAGCAAATGTCTGCTTGGTCATTTTTGCTTTGTTTTTTTGAATTAGAAAAATATATGTTGTTCCTCTTTTCTTTCTTTTTTTTCCAAAAGTAATAATGATCATAATTTCTCTGTAGAAAAATACTGAAATGTATTCTTGTGAGGAATATAAAGAGGTTTTTTCCCAGTATTAATGTGCACTTAAATTATCAACAGTTCTTTGATAACAACTTGATTTTCACAAAATATACATTGAAGAGTATGTCTCAGGGCAAACAGAGGAAGGCCAATTGGAGGGGAAAAGGTGTACCCATCCAAAAACCAGACTTGTAGTGAATCCCCTGAGCAAAGGGGCAGCATGGCATGAAATGCACCACCGTAATGTTTTGATTTTCATTTGGCAGCGACTTTGAGTCTCAGAAGGCAGCTGGTGTTACTTGTTCCCACAAAGTCTCATCTTTTTCTTAACAGCATTTCTGAAAGGGTGGTACCAAAAACTCTGTTACTTTTCTTTGTAGTAATGTTTTGGGTATTGCTTGTTTGGGCAGTTTCCTGGGGGAAAGCAAGAGAGTTATTGCACAGGCTGTCTAACACATCGAGTTCTTCCTCTGCAAGGCTACCAAATGGTAATACATTCCTGAGCTCATTGCATAAACTGCATAACAAATCCTAGAGTCATCTTGAACATAGGTGGATTTTTTTCCAGGTAAATTTGCCATAGTATAGCATTGGGGAAAAAAATGGAGCAAGTTTGTGCTTTCAGTTTCTTCTGAATGCCCTTCTGTCCAAATGCTGCTGCATCTTTAGCTTCACTTAGCTTCTTGGTACACAGCTATGGATAAATACAGTGCTTTGGAACGGTAGGAAAGTAAGTGCTGTAAATTAGCTGATTGCTTTTTACCTATGAAGGCCAGTGTATTGGATAACCCCATCGACTTCAACAGCAGCCTGACATAGACTGGAACGATTGATTGCAGGCGTTTCGTTACACTTGAAAACAGCCTGAATTTGTTCATTAAATCCCAAAGCTGCTTCATGTGCTACAACTTCTCCATTCCAGCAGAGGATAAAAGCAAGGGTGAATGGGCTGTGATTGACTTCACAGTATCCCTGTGATCCTACTAAGTGGATCCTCTCTTTCAGCAGTTTTATATGGAAGTGAGGCATGAGAAAATGTGGAGAAGGAATTGCTGAACGTTATATTTTGAGGGCTTTTTGGGTACATAGGTAAAAGAACACTTCTGCTATGCTAATTTTGCATGTAGTGTGCACCCCTGACAGTGGCGAGGTGGCTTTAAAAGTCTTTAAAAGAGAGTTTGCAAGTGTGGCTGTGAACTATGCAGGGTCACTGCAACATGAATAAAGCAGTAGGTCATGAAAACCCCATGAAATGCTGTTCACTGTCCATAGGTACCCAGGAACATGACAGTGAATACACCTGAATAGTATTATATCTCCATGGTGCTACCTGTGAGGGGTCTGCAGAGTCCTTCAGGAGGAAATCTCGAGAGAGAGGATTGTGTCCTGCAAAAGCCTCTGCCAGAGATTGGACTTTGGCAGTTTTTGCTGCCTGTGTATGCACACTCTGTTCTGTAGTAAAATAGGTCTATGTAATAAGTGTAATATTGGCAAATTCTTTATTGAAGTGGTAGATAGTTCTGTAAGTATAGATGCTTAGAGATATGTACAGAAACAACTACCCACTACCTTAATGTGAAAAGAACTCCTACAGAAATTTGTGTTGCTCTGAAGAATTCTGCAGACTCACCATACAAGACTCTGTGTCTAGTACGGTTTTAATGGGTGGTAGGTGTAGTGAAAATAAAGCATGGAGTTTGACAAATTTAAGAATTGGCTTTGGTATCCACACGTTTACATGTGGGGGTTTTTAAATCAGCCATTTAAACGTGGCCAGTCATGCCATGTAGAAGAGTGCTGGGGACTGAGGGCAGAGTAGGATACAACTAAATTGGTAAACGTATGTGCCATAGGCTTGCACCAGCATTCTTTTATCACCAAAATTATCAGCAAACTTAACAGAAGGTCACGATCTGTATTCTTCCAGCATTGCCTGGCATGCGCTCATTTTAGTTAACAATCTCCTAATGGGATCATCTTGTAATAAACCCTTATTTTCTGAGGGTTAACATTTACCTATAGGCAAATTTAGGCTTCCAGCTGAACCTGCCCATGTGGAACTGGAGTTTGTTTGTGTGTAGACTAGCTTGCACACATCTGTCATTTTTATATGTTTACATTTATAAAAATAGAGAAGAGAAAAAGATCTTTACTCTTGAGGAATAGCATTCTTCCCTCCAGTGCATTCTTCTAAAGTTAACGTTTCATTTTAGAAGAAAATTGCACCCATTTTACAAAGCATGACAACCTGAAAGCTCACACAGTAAGAAACACTTCTTAGCTTCTGTAAGCTGTGAAAAGTTTTCAGATTATACTGTCATTTTAGAGCCTGCTGCCACACTGCTGAAAAGCAGCATCGTTTGAGACGTGTAGGAGAAAAACCCAGAATGAAAAATTCTTAACTGGTTTCCATTCTGCTCTGAATCTGATTTGAAAAAGAGAATCTTACCATATAAAAATGAAAACATAAAGCTGGTAAAGCTGAACATTCTTAATCATGAACTACCGTAAAAGTGAAATAGAAACTATTTGGTTGCCTCATACATTGGACTATAAGCACATACAAAATTTGCTGGGTAAAAGCTGAAATTTCACACCTTCATTTTTATTGGAGTTCTGTGACATCATAACTGTCAGATTAAAATGAATGCTGACGAGCAGTAGAGTAACTTTGTTCTTACTGCAGTTGGTAGTGGGGTAGCTCCAGTTTATTCAGCTCTTCAAGCCTATGTGATCACGTATCTGTTCTCAGTACAAAATCAAATTAGTAGCAATATGACTGGCCTACTTCCCTCTTTCCATCCACCCCCCAAAAAAAATCTTTGACAAAGTGTATTTGTTGAAAAGAGTTAAACTGATTTTCTTAAACATCCAAATACATAGTAAGTAATGCTTAGAGTAACCTGGTTGCCGTTACAAAGTCAGTTTGTGCTTTCATTGCACGATCTGCAGGGCTCATGTCAAAGTACTTTCCTGCCAGGCACTTAATGTTAGTAAAACAAATTCAGCCTTGACTTTGGCTTCAGTAGGAGTTGTAACACAACTGAATCTGGCTCAAGTAAATTCAGGAGTGCACCTCATTTCTAAGTAGGAAAGGTAATAATATCTGACTGTAGGAAGGACCACTGTGAAGAAGTTACAGTATCAGGAGGCAAGGCAGAAAACTTTACAGGAGGCTATTTATTTAATTAAAATGAATATCCATTCACTGGAAAGAACAGCAATGGCTCATGGAACTGCTGGGTCACCCCCTTTGGCTTCACGTCTCTTTTCTCCTGGCTGTCCTCCAAGTTTCAGCTAACGGCTGGAGGGAGATACAGAGTCTGTCATTTTCTAGGCTAACATGCAAGATGAATGGTGGCAATGCTTTTAAAATCATTGGCAGTTGGATGCTACCCCACTGCATCTTTCGTGGTGTTGAGTACCAGTCCTCACCAGCACGATGTGGGGACATGGACGGAGTGGGTGGTTCTCTAGCATCCATGAGGTGCAGCTAGGGTCATCTTTAGAGAGGTTCAACTAGAAATAAGTTCCCATTCACTGCAGAATTAGTGCTCTGTCCTGTTCCGAGGAAGGGAAAGGCAAAGGAGGGAAAGGGTGACTGACAAGATGAGTTTAAAGAAGCGTTTACTGCAATCAACAACGAAGTTTAGGATTTTACTATACAGACATAAAGGATATGTTTCCCTTCATATATTTGGCTCCTTTCCCAAAGCTTTCTATCAGTCTGTTTCTCTTGTGTTTAATTCTGAACCACTCCCCTCTTCCACTGCTGAGCAAATCGCTTCACTTTCTGCAAGCAGGAGGGTCTTCCTGCGGTAGCAGCAGCCCCTCTCTGCTGTCAGATCAGGGGCAGCTCGCATAGGGTGCAGTCCGTCCCCGCATGGCTTACGGGGTTACAGTGCACAGAAAAGCTAAGGTGAGCAGTTACAGCTTGCGTAGCAGCCTCAGTGCTTTCTGCCATCTCCACGTAGAGAAGGGCATCAAGATAACATGAGCTTCCATTAGCTCTAAAGCCAAAATAGCAGCAGGAAAACGGGTTCACTCCTGCACTTCTGCCACATGAGAAAGACTTCTGCTCTTTCTACCTTTTTCGCTTTTCCTGGTCGTGGTTCATCTCTGATGGCTGTGCATCCCTGGTTTCCCCCAGGTCATAATACACATTCTCTTTGCAAGGTAGGACATGTGAGATGGCTGTCTTCTGGCCTCTTTCAAGGGAGGAGAGTAGTAGCTACTCACAAGCAGCATTGGCTCAGGCAACGAATTGGAAGTGCATTGCCACCAGTCTCCTTGTACTGTAGGCACTCTTGCTCATCTTGCTTTTTGGCCAGCGGTGGTGTGAGGAGGTAGGAAAGCCGTTTGTGACTCTCTCAAGAGAGTACTAGTCCTCAGTGTACTAGTTTGCCATGATTCACGCTTTAGGCTACTTTTGTGCAATTCCTGAAAGGAACACTTTCAGGTTTTCTAGCCCCTTTCGAGGGGGGGCAAAGAGGAGAGGGTTGATTTGGTTTGGTTTTAGGATTATGTAAACTTGTGTGGGACAAACTTCATTTTATATAATAATTTTACCCAAATTATTGCTTGCAAAGCACTTTGAGATAAGTGGATGAGAAGTGCTATGTGAGAGCTACCTCTTCTTAAAATGACATGAGGCAACATCAGAAACTTGCCTTCTGGGATCCAAAGTTCAGATCAGTGAAAGAAATATGAAAATGGGGAGTTTGGGCCCTTTATTTAGAAAGCTGAATTTTCCGTATATGGACAGAATGTACTGTTTGTGCCTGAACTAGTAGCCTTCATTCCTGACTGTTGTGTAATAGCTTTAGTTTGTTTGACATCTTCTCTTTTTCAATGTTGTGAGTTTCTTACTTTCTTTTCCCTCCCCTTCCCACCCTTCCCCCAACTCTTTTCTTTTCTTCTTGCAATTTAGAAATCAAGTTCCTCTACCACAACTGGAGAGAAGATCACTAAAGTCTATGAGCTAGGAAATGAGCCGGAGCGCAAGATGTGGGTAGATCGGTACCTCACGTTCATGGAGGAGAGGGGTACGCCCGTGGCCAGCCTGCCAGCTGTGGGCAAGAAGCCCCTGGACCTGTTCAGGCTCTATGTCTGCGTCAAAGAGATCGGAGGTTTAGCACAGGTGAGAAGTGGTGCTTGAAAGTGAACCTTTTCAACAGGCGATACATGGTTTTTCCTAGTGTATTTGCTGCTGGTTACACCATGACATTTTCAGTCCTGACAACATTGTTGAAGAAGATAGTTTCATGCTTTAATATTTGTCTGGAGTTCATTTTGGGCTGTGTAATGGCCCTAAAACTCTACAATTTGAATTAGAATTGACCGTTGCTATAGACAGATGGAATCATTACCTGTTCAGGGGAATCCGGTAATGCCACTAAGAGAAGAAAAGAGGAAAAGGCCATTGGATCAAAGTTACAAGTAAGAAACAGATGATAGAGCTGAAAGAAAAAGGTTATTCTGAAATCCATCCTTCCCAGGTAGGGCCACTGGCTCTAGGACAAATCGATTCATCTCTCCAGAGAAGTGGCAGATACATTCTTGAAACATAGTCCTTCATTCCAAACCTTTCATCTCTGACTGTTGCTATATAGTACATTTGCTTCTTAGACATGGACCGTGCTTTCCCTGTGTTTGGAAAATGCTTACAGGATATTTTGGGTTGCCTTACAAACATAATGATTGCAAGGAGAAGGTGAACTACGTAATTGAGATGATGGAAAATGAAAGCAGGAAATGCTGAGAATAAGCTGAGAAGCTTTGGTTTGCATTCTCACCAGTTAACTGGAAGTCTTGGAAAGGGATGTTTGGAAATTACTTGTGAGTTTTGTAAGACTTACACTGTCTACCACCATCAAAAGGGAAAGCAGGAGAAAATGGTCAGTATTTGCAGCCTCAGATTCAGTATTCCAAGTCAACTGTCCTTGCCTGGTGCTTTTACAAAGCATCCTTTGTATCTAGAGGATCACTCTGGCTAGGTACTAGAAGCTACTCTAAAGTGCTGAGACCCATAATTTCTGTGGATTTAAGAACGTTTGTGGATGTTCGGTGCTTTGCAAGATAAATATGTATACACTATATTTAATACAAACCAGATAATATTTAATATTTAAATATATATAACTTTATGCTGATTACAACATCTGAACTAAAAAATATGGCAAACAAATTAGGTCCTCAGAGAGCATATTTGTAATAATCTGTGTGGATAGTTCAAGAAAGAAATGTCCAACATCAATTAGTACCATTTTCAATGCTATTTGTAATAGTACACTTCATAACGTAGGATTTGACTACTGAATTACATCATTGGCCCTTCAAGTCCAGAGATTCTACCTATTCCTGCTATTAAAGGAAGGCAGAGAAACCTAATACAGTTCACCTTGCCAGTTGTTAAATGCTGTATATGGGTAAGAGATGTTATCCTGACATTTTTAGTGATCAGCTCATGCCCCCCAGCATCATAAAGATTTGATTACTTTTAGCTCAGAAACTTTATTACAGGTAAATCGTATCATGCAGCTGCTCTGCCTCATACAGCATGATTGTGTCCATAGCGTGACTCTTAGCATCAAAAATTAAGCAAGACGGGGGGCAGATGGGATATTTTAGAGAGTCATTCATGTTTGCTTATTATGGAAATTTATTTTATTTTGGGACACTCAGTGTTGATTTGCAGTGACAGACATTATACGTTGCCAAAGAATAGATGCTGTTCACTTCGACTGATTTTTTGAAAGGGCTTGAGTTACAAATGTGCGTGCTTCACTACTGGTAAAAATTGACACTGAAAATATAAGCTCCTGGGTTTGCTGGTGTGCCCGCACGAATGATCATCACATTTATCTGTTTGGGGCTACTGAGAGGTGGAGACCTTTGCTTACTGTGGTTTATTTAAATGCATCTGCGTGATGCTCTCCTAAAAAAGCTGTTGCTCCAACTGCTGCACTCCACATCTTATGATTTTGCCTGGAGGGAGGCAGGGAGTGGAGCTGTGGGGCAGGGGTGCATCTTTTCTGTCAGTGGTTGCAATTGATGGGGTCCCAACGTGAACAGACCAGCTGTTGGCAGTCTTCTTTTAAATGCCAATATACTGGGCATTTAGGCGTGAATGTTGCTGTTTGCATTATGCGATGTGGTTATTATGCACCACTTAGCTGTAAGTCAGTAGGCACAAAGGGCTGTGTAACTGGATTTCAAGCCTCAACAGGGGCAGTTTATGAAAATCTCCTCTCCTTTAACTCCTGGGTTCTTGCAGGATGTACCAGAGAAATAGCTTCGCCTAGCCGTGCCAACCTGCTTGCTATCAGTGGTCTCCCCAAAAGATCTCTGCTGACTGGCAGCAGCTACACTGTTATTAAACACGGAGAGAAATGTAAGAAATGTTTCCTTTGCTGGCACGCAGGCTTAGGAGCAGTATGGCTAATGATAACTTTTGTAGCTGTACCAGTTAAGTTGGAGTCATTACAATTTCAGGCCTCAGGGCAAGTAGCAGTCATCATGGCAGGAAAGAATCAGGATTCTTCCCCAACAAAAGCTGAGATGCTCAGGCATTTAAAGCCAGTTTATTTCAGTGCTGCCTCCGCTCCTTGCATCATACCCAGCAATTGCACCAGTGGTTGAAAGAACTTTGGGGCATCAGGTAGTACAGCAAAAATACTGGCTGCTATGAGTGGTCCAGCAGCATCATCCAGGATGACAGATGAACTTTGCTGTTGCTACAGATCAGCTGTGTTTGAGGAACTCATGAACAGAGTCTTTCAATATTCTCAGCCTTACACTGCAAACAAGACTCGCAGTGGAGTTGTGCACTTGGCACTGTAATACAGAGTATTGCTAGACTAGTCCTGTGTGTCTGAAGTCTGCCTTAATTAATTAAGGGGCCTTGCTTCACTCTGCCTCTCATCCAGCCAAAGGATCATTGATCTGTCCCTGCAAGAAGCCCTAAAGTGAAAGGACTTGAACCAGGAATTACAGGCTGAACTGTTTGACAGCTGGTGGCTATTTTGGAGAAAAATTTATTTTTCGTATCAATGCTCAAACACTTAAACTGCAGAATAACACTTTATTGCTTTCTAAATTAGTTTTTAGAAGCTGCTTTTTAATTAGAATGGGGTGGGCATGGATGGGTGTTGGAGAGGGGGAGAATGAGCATGAATGTGCTTGAGGATGGATTGCTACCTGAAGAGCGTAGGCCCTGGAAGAGTGCAAGGCATTTACAAGATGCACCATGCAGAAGACTCTCCACAAGCAAAGCTTTTTATGTAGCTCTCAGCAGGTTCCTTAATGGTTTTATAACTGTAAATGCTGTATATGCATTATTGCATGTAGGAGTAATGAGCATTAGTTAAAAGAGGAAGATAAAAAAAGTAAACGAAGACATTAAGTGCGCTTTTTTTTTCCCCTTTTTTTCCCCCCCTTTTTGTCTCCTGACTTAAACAAACCACTTTGCTGCAAACCAATGGTTCTGCCATTTATTTTGCTAGGTTAATAAAAACAAGAAGTGGCGTGAGCTGGCAACCACCTTGAACGTTGGCACTTCGAGCAGCGCCGCCAGCTCCCTGAAAAAACAATACATTCAGTACCTGTTTGCCTTCGAGTGCAAGATTGAACGAGGGGAGGAGCCCCCTCCAGAAGTCTTCAGCACTGGAGATACTAAGAAACAACCTAAGATTCAGCCGCCATCTCCTGGTAAGTCAAAAAAACTGCAGCCTCTTACACAACCATTTTTTGACTGTGAAAGATACTCACTGGGTTGCAGTTTATATATTTACAAGGGTGTCTTGCTAATGCTGGACAATCGACAAAGATATGTTGTTGCCATCTTGTTTTCAAACTTGGAGCTAGCTCCTGAATCAAGTCAGATTTAACTCTGAAGGGTCATCTGCAGTCGTGTGTCTACTTTGTCATTGCTCACTCCCAACACACGAAGAGGTGCGTGCCAGCGTCCTTAATACTCAGAGTTGCACTGGCATAGTTAAAAGAACAGCATTCTGTACGGATGTGCTTCTGCTGTAAGACACGAGGCAACCAGTACTAAAAGGACCATCCGTTTGTCTAAAGATCAGTCTGGTACATTTGGAACGCAACTGTTGGTCAGTAAAGCTTCAGTTGGAGTCAAGACGGCAGATGCAGGAGTGACCCGTGGGTCTCAGATGCTTGCTCTGATACAGCTCATGTTCGATGTGTGGCAGATGGAGAGAGTTGAGAGTATGGTGTATCCCCACTGCCAGACCTTGTAGTTTGGAGGCATGCTCTCTGTTCTTTTGTTGCTAATCCTGTATGCCAGATAAGTCGTTAGCATCACTGTCTTTATCTTCTCGTCTGAAAAATTGGAACTGGAAACGCTTGATTTTGGCTGTTCTTCTTGCATGTGCATGTTTGAAACCACACTGTTTTCGTTCTAAATTAATTCAGCTTAAGACTCTCAAGATTGGATAGTCGCGAGTGATACTCAAGGCAGGAACATTCTTCAGTCGTAACATTTTAAGTACATGGGAAAAGGTGTAATAAGTATTTGTCTATGATGCTGATTTTTGGACTACCCATGGAAGAGGAAGTATTTCCTTTGATTTGCTGGTTATTAGGCTTTTCTGACCAACAAAATAAATTTAATACCTACCTTCACAATTCCTGTTACGCAGACCACCTTCTTTCATTGGCAAAAGAATATAACTCCTGGAATGTTTACAGCAGTTTCCTGCATTAGAAGGCAGTATTAGGAAAGTATTAAATACTCTTAATTTCTGTTAGTGCAGTTCACCGGTTGAAAATGGGAAGTGGCAAGTCAGGGACCCAGCAAGCTCTCCAGGCAGTTTGCAGGCTGCATGGCTCTAGTTTGAGAATTCATGTCGAGGATACCAGAAGATTGCAAAGACCTTTATAGCCATATGATACAGTTCTAGCTTTTACAAGATGATTTGTTTTGATAGTGCTTTGTCAGTACAGAAAAAGATAAAGGTGATAAAGCTTAAATCTTTTTCAGCCTGATGTATTCAGTGTAAGGATTTTAGGGAGTGTTTAGTTAAAATCTTCTAGGTACATCTCTTTCTGTAGTAGCCTGAATATTTCCTCCACCTTGTTAACACCTAGGGTTATCAGGTACCCCAACACTGATTATTTAATAGACACGAGGTTACTTTGCAAGGCAAGTTTAGAAGATGGGGGAAGATACTTGGTACTATGAGTGAGGCCTATAGCTCAAGTGTTGATCTGCCTGAAATGAGCGTAGAGTGTCCTGAACGAGCACCACTGCAAAAAACAAAAGATGTTGGACGTGCCTGTCACGTCCTGAGAAGGCTGGTGAGGGGAGCTGAAACTGTTAGACTTGTTAAGGAGGGCAAAGAGGAAATTCATCTATTTCTAAAACTAAACAGCAGTACTAAAAATGAAAGAGTATTTTGCTTTGCTCCCTCCTCCCTTACCCCTCTCCCTCCAACACTGCTCTCAGTAGTTGGTTCAGGGATGATTGCCATAAACTGACTGAATTTTGAGATGAAGAATTGTTATTTAAATACATAAACCTGAAACAACAGAATAGCAAGCTCAGACACACCATTTTTAGAGGGTCCTTTTGCAGCATGACAGTACAGATGAAAATGGCAAAAAGTCCAAGTTTAAATTTATCATAACATTCAAGCAAGCTGTCTATGAGGAGAACTGAAACTATTTTTCTAAAATAAAAACACAGCAGGACATAGAGACTAGAAGAGGGGGAAGCAAGCAAAGATCTCAAGGTTTGTTTTGTTTGGGAGAAAAGAGCTCGTGTCACTGAATGGACTGCACTTCTGTACGGAGAAAGGCTTTCCCAGTGTGTATCAGCTTTAGTACATGAAATCCCGCTGAGGTATAGATGCTGCAGAGAGAACAAGCCTGTTCTCTTTAATAGTCAGCTTTTTTCTTTTTTCTTTTTTCTTTTCCTTTAGTATATAACAACATTAACATTTTAACTGCACAAAAGAAGTAGAGTTGTACATGTACTTTAGATAATCTGTTACTCTTTGGCATTCAGAGGGAACAGGAGCCCAATACAACAAGAAACAGTAGCCTCCGAAGGTCCTTGCTTTAACCATTAGCCTCTGTTGCGCAGTTAGCTCAGTGTAGGCAGAGCCGCTTTGAAGCCAAATCCATTCGCAGAGAACTAGTTAGCAGTATTAGAGCTGAAGTTAATTCTGATAAAAAAGCAGGGGGACTTGTCTGGGAGAGGAGGGTGTTTGATTTTGTCCAATTCTAACTAGCTGATGCTGTGAAATCAGAGTCATGAGAGTTTAAAAATCAGCTCATCCTCATAAAACTTTTGAAACTAAATCTTTTGTTTGCTCCTAAGAATATATAGGGAATATATATAAGAATATATAGGGACTGGCAGCCTTCTTGGTACAGAGAAGAATTCAGTTCCCTTGTGGATGCAGTGCCCAGGTATATGTTATGCAAGGTGGAAGCACGGTAACACACAGTTCAGAGCAAACCAGTTGTTGCAGATGTCCCGCATCCAAGGGGTGGTTATGTGACTGCCTCACAGATGACCTTTAGAATGCGATCATAGAGAGAACGCTAGGCAGCAGAGTGCTACAACTACAGTGAGGAGATTCCTGTAGAAGAACCCGGTCAGGGAAAGGATGTGATGTGTAAGTCAAATCTGTGGGACTGCGAAGGCAGTGGTCTGGATCTGTGTGTTAATCCTTTTGCTTGTAGCACTGTATTTGAGATTCTCCCATCACTCCTGTTTTTTACAACATCATTAATGAGGTAAATGGTATGTATAGGAGTGAATAATTTAGTGTTATGTGCAGTGCAGTTCAGGATAGTGTCAGCAATTATCAAAAGCTGAAAAAAGGAGCGAGAGTAGAGCAGCAAAGTGACAGGCTGGTTGGCTTTGTTCAGCAGAGGTTTGCATAGTCGCCAAGGTGTTAGGGGTAGGATTACCTGCCTATTTTAATAAATGTTCTGGCTTCATACTACTGTCAGAGCCTCTTCTGCTCTCTCATAAAACTCCCAGGGAGAGGTGGGGGCCTTGAACGTGTTTTAGTGTGGCTTGCACTGCTCTGAGACCGTGCAAGTTGCAGACGTGCTTGTGGTAGGCTGAGGCCTTTGTATCCCAGCTTACATCTGTCGGGGTCAGGTAATGCCGTCAGCAGCGAGGACCAGCAGCAGATGCCTAATGACAGGCTGGCTATTAGGGGACCCCTGTTGGCCTTATGTCCTGATTGTTGGGTTCGTGCCAAGCTCCATGTCAACTGTTAACTGCTCTTTTGCTGCACAGAAAATCCCTTCTAGGGAGAGAGGCGCTGTAGGTCTTTGTAAGCATCCTTCTAGGACTCCAGTGCTTTCCAGACGTGGGTGCAAAGACAAAATGCTCTTCCTGTCATGCGTGTTTGATAGTTTTGACCAACGTATGCACAAATTATGTGGCAAGTTCTAAACTGAAAATAATTCTGGGGGCCATTATGCTAAGCATTAATGGGTGCCAGAGGACAAATTTCAAAGGAACATCAGCGTGAAGGAGTTATTTTCCGTTGCTGTACTCTGGCACTGTAAATTCTTAGCTGCAGTCTGCAGTTATGTATGCATGACTTTCAAAATTACAGACGGAGCATTTATCCTATACTGAATGAGCAGGATGGTACAGCTGAGGATGCTCCTCAGTAACACTCAGCAGCTGGCCCTGATGTCAACGGAGATTTCATTACAGCAAACCTGGAAAATTGTGCGCCTGTGTTGGAGCAAGAGCGCACCAAGAGTGTGTTCCCTGCGTTTCCTTGGCAGCAGAGAAACAAGACTTGGGGAGGGGGATGGCGGGGGGGACGCGACACACCACCACACGACACAGCCATTCAGTGAGTGCGTCTGTAACCAAACCCATCCGTCTCTGCTGGCGTGTGGCTGACTGAAGTGCTATTATTAGCAGGCAGGTGATGTCATGGAGTGTGTCATGAGGCCAGCGAGGGAATCCCCATGGAAGATGGATGGGCGAGGGGTCGGGAGGGGTGGACAAGGAGACAGACAGAGGCGCCCCCATGCTTGCACCCGCGCCTGCTCGGGGGGGGGCCTTGCCGCAGCCAGCGGCCCCCAGCCTGGCCTAACTGGGGCACTGGGTTCGTGCTGTGTAAATTATCTTCCCAGCGTGGCGGCTGGCTGTTCACTCTCAAGTATGTGAATGTACTTAACCTTCAGTAACCTTCCCATTGTTTACTTTAGAGTATACATTTGTAGCTTCTGGCAAAAGGTAGGGATATCCTAGAGAGCATGTCAGGCCTCATATTAATGGCGTTTCAAGAGGTTGCATTCTTTTCTTTCTTTCTTTCTCTTTCTTTCTTTCTCTTTCTTTCTTTCTTCCTTTTTTTCTCTGAAGGGAAAAAAATTGCTGGCAAGAGAAAGATTTTAATTTTTTTTTTTAACTGCATATTTCTGTTCTGGTAAATAAAGCATCTTTCCTGAAAGCAGTACTTACTGCCACGCAGGCTTTGCAAGGAAAAAGCCACACCAGTGCTGAAATTCCATGCTGCCAAGAATAACGCATGCCGTTGAGTGAACTGTCGAAGAGTTTGTAGGACCTCACCTTCTCACTGACAAAGATGTTAATTTTATTTCATTTTGGATGGATTTTATATTGGTAAAAGCATATTCTTACAAATCTGTTATGACACTTGAAAGACAAGTGTTGCTTGGGTGTGGATGTGAGATGAAAAATTCAGTAACTGTGGACACATAGGTTTTTTTCCTGGACATCCCCAAGTCAACAACAGAATCATGTAAGCAGAGATCACCTGTTCTAAAAGAACATTGTTGCTTGTCTTCCTTCTTAGTTCTTTGTTTAATACTGAAGCTTATGAAGCACTTCTGGATGTCCACAATCAAAATTAAACATCTACGATAATAAAAAGCTTGCAAGGATAGATGTAATAATTTCAGAGAGCATCTTAGCAAATGTAAAATTTAAGGTGAAACATGAAAAAAGGAATAAGGTACTTTCTTACTGAGAGGAGGGTTGTTTTCATATTCTTTAACTAGAAAACATCGCTAATAGCGATGTGTGTACAATGCATGTGTGAGAGAACAGAACTAGTTTGCATTTAACGTGTGTGCAGATGCTGTATCCAAAAACTGTTAGAAATATATTGCTGTGATGCAAAGTCAAGTGCTCAAAAATTAGGAAATGCCAACAGTGAGATATAATCTTTGCAACCTTAATTATGTTTCCTTGTGCATATACAGTTCAATACACTGAATGATGCAGTCACATTGACATTGTCTGTGTCACTCAGTGCATGGAATAAACAGAGCTCAGTGACTGAGGACCTATTCAGTATTTTGTGTTATCCTCACTTTTCCATACACAGCCCTTACTTGTGCCACAGTTTTCTGCCAGACTCAAGCAGAGGGTTATAAATTCACTCCTTGATTCTTCTCATCTTCACTACAACTGTATTGGAGGGCTTTAAGGAGCATTAACCAGCCTTTGCAATACCCAGCTGAGAGGAAGAGTAGTATGATTCCCATTCTACAGAAGAGGAACAGGGCTACCAAAAATTTTACAGCATGAATATCTGCTCATTCTAGGTGCCAGTTTTCTAAGTTCTGCCATGTATAGCCCTTTATATGATCTCATCTGTTGCCCTACATGTTCTGCTTAGCTGGAAATCAGCATCTCTAAACAGAATCTCTCTGAAAAGGAACACACATCTAAGAACCTCTTATGCAAAATTTAATTCCACTCATACGTCCAGTATTGGACTCTTCCTAGTATTGAACGCTTTGTCTCTATCCAGGCACTTATGGTACTTTCCCCATACTTGAACTCTCATTAGGTACATTTTCTGGGCTTTCTTGGTGTTCCTTGTGGATAGTACCATGTCCATGCAACTTTCAGACATCTCAAATTCTAATCTGACCTCAGCAGCATCCAGGTCCTTTCCAGGTTCCCAGTCTCCTTGTCATTCTCCTATTCTCCTTTTCTGTTGATGGCCAGAAACCCCTGCCTTTGCTTGCCAACCTCCAGTTGTAACCATGAGAGCTTGTGCAGGGTGGCTTCCTGGCTGTAGGTTCTTGTGCTCAGCTCTATATTCAGCGCTGCCCAGATCAACCCAGGAGCTGAATTACAGTAAGAGTCCTGCTCACTCACAGCCTGAAATAAGTACAAAAAGGATCTGCAGAAAACCAAGCAGTGAATGTAGCAAGATAATAATCTCTACATATAAAAAGCTATTTTTCACAAATTTATTTGACCAAATCAGAATAAACACTGGAACAGCAAGAGTACTTTCCCTGTCACAGGCAAGTCACGCAGCATTACCGCCAAGTCTCTTCGTCAAACTGTGTATGGTGCTGTGTGTGAAAAAGGTGACCAACACGTGCTGGGCTTGGAAGACTCATTAAAAAATATTCCTGTTTTGGGGACAATGGAAGAGCATCATATATTTTTGAAGGCATATTCTTAGAAAAAGCTGGCCAATTCCAGCTGAAAATTTCAAAAACAAAACTAGCTTGAGGGGATTTTGCTGAAGCTTGCAAAGGTACTGAAAATAGCATCCTACAAGAGAAAGTTAAGTTGCTTAAAAAAATTGTACCTGCTGTACCAACAGTCACTAGGAAGAGTACATACTTACTCCTCTCAAGGAATGTGCTATTTACATTGATGCTATTATTAAAGTATAGATGAACTATTCAGCAGCCTGTGAGCGTATGACATAGAAATAATTGTCTTTGCAGTTGCTTGTAGGTCATATCCGCACTTGGGCTCTTGGTAGCTGATGACTTAATCCAGAGATTGAAACATTTGCAGTCCCTGTTCTGTAGAACTGTCCCTGACCCAATGGAGGTCAAGAGCAAAGCATATTAACAAAGCAGTACCAGAAACTTTGCACTTCTCATGCTAGCATTTGCCTTCCATTTTTCAGCTATTTATAATCAGTCATTTAGAAAGAGGCGGGGGAATAATAACCAACCCTATAACCACCATCCAGCAGTTAGAAATTTGACTTGTAGTTTCTCAGTTGGGTATCTTCTTTTTGCTTTTTCCTTATATAAGAAGATTATATAAAACACATTGTTATTCATAATAAAGATTGTGTATTCATGCAGCCTATAAATACTGAAAAAATACTTGGTTTTTTAGGTTTGCTTTAGATATGAATTAAGTTCTTGCGCAGGTAGCATAGGGAAGAACTTTATTTCTGCTTAATAGCCCACCATAAGAGAAATATGCAGGGTTAGGCAATACCGTATTTTACATTAAGTATATGGATACACGAAGACGTTTACTTACATGGTTCTAATATAACAAGATGGTATGTGACAATGTGTGGTTTAAGTCAGAAATGCTTTCAAGGTTTTTAGAAGTAATCTAGAATTGTGTTTAAAGCTCAAGGGCAGGAGAATGATTTTGGTTCACTCGGGTCCTGTATACGAAGGGCTCATTTTATGTGAACATGATGATTTTTTTTATTATCATATGGCTTTATTATGGCACTAAAGCCTTCAGTCAACTGTAGCATTAGTTGTTGCAAATGTTGTTGTTACTGCATTAATGCAATCAGAGAGCTTTTCTTAAACTTTTTTTGAACCTCATTACTATGTGAGCATAATCCAAACATGCCTCAGAATGCTGAGGACAAGAACAATGTGGTCTACGCAATGTGGATTTTACATATGCACTTGCTACTGAGACTGATTTCCAGATAGTGGAACATGTGTTACAGATATAAATGAAACACATATAAAAAAGGTGTTCTTCAGTTAAAAACAAGCTCTGCCTGTCAAGATGATGAGTGTTCTAAGATTCTGAGTCAATTATAAACTACTCTCTCTTTCACATAGAGAAGAAAAGCCCATATTGCTTGTTCCAATTTTCCCTCTAACAGTAATTTATAAAGTTTTGTTAATTGGTTGTTGAATGTAGATAGTCAGGCACTATAAAATGCTTACATGACAGTTCATAAAAAAGAAGGACCTCTCAAGCCAAAGCCCTGTCTTTCTATTAGATTTGTGAATTTTTTCTGTTGGTAATTTCTTTCCCAATTGTATCTGAAGATGTGAATCCTACAGGTTCTTGGGTAGAATTTCTGCTGCAAGGCAAATCAGATCCAAGGCTTAGATGTTGTTGCTAATTCCCACTTACCACCTTCTAAATAAGAAAACTATTACATTAGATCTTTGTGGTTGGGGGGGGGGGGCTTCTTCTCAGTAGTCATATGAAAATAGTTCAGTGCCTACTTTAAAAGACTGGTCTGGTTGTATTTTATCATTAGCATATATGATAAAGGATATTTAATGCCCTTAATACTGCTCAGTCTCATCAGAATAGAACATTACACGCTTTTCTACGCTCATTGTCATATCAAGACTATAGCTATTTACCGTGGTTGAGGAGGACAGTACTGCATGTACTCTGTCGCTTTCTGAGATCTCAACATAGAAGTTTTTGCAGATGAAATAGGTGCTTTGCAGAATTGACCTGGTCTTGTTACATATGCTCTACAATGAGCCTAACTTCATTTTAAGATGTCCATTGCTATTTTTGCAGTTTTATTAGGGGTGTTAGCTATAAACTTCTGTTCAAATTCTGCCTTCAGTGATCACTTCCTTCTTATCCTAGCTTGCCTTTTGCATTTCTTAAATACAATCTTCTACCACGTTGTCTCAAAGATGCCATGGGGTTGCAGTGTGCCACTAATCATTTGCCATGTTTCACCATGGAAATGTCTGCCTTTTAGTGATAAATGAGATGATGAATTTATATTAATATAGCAGTTTAAATTTGTGAGGAAAAGCTTCTGGCTGAAATTTGCCTTATAAATGTATGTGTTGTGATAGTGATTATGTAAAGAAGCTGTGCCAAAGAACAACCTTCATTTACTCTGTTGTAAACTATAGACAATTAACTTTGTATCTCTGACCTCTGATTTAAATGCTCCTTCATCTCGATGATTTCTATTCATGTTGCTTCAGGCAGCAGATTAAATTCATGGTTCTAGGAAAGATGATGGCTATTACTGCACAGCATATCCTGATCTCAGAGGATTTGGGGGAAGTTATAAAGTACTGAGATATATACGGTATTAGCAGGCTTATGGGGGGAAGAACTGGTTTCTCTCCTTGATGATTATTATTTCAACTGGAATTTGCTGCTGCCTTTTAATAGTTCCTTCTTCTTTAATTTCACAGCTAATTCTGGTTCCTTGCAAGGCCCACAGACTCCACAATCTACCGGTAGTAATTCCATGACAGAAGTGCCAGGCGATTTGAAGCCCCCAACACCAGCATCAACACCTCATGGACAGATGACACCTATGCAGGGTGGCAGGTATGAAAAGGGCTTTGCTTCATTTTTTGTTGGGTTGTAGTTCTACAACAGTCTAAGCCAGTCTTTCCCTTTCCCAACTGCTTGGGTGCTCATCTGATTCTCTGGTGAACTGGTGAGAGCCTTAAGAGAGGAGAGAGGGAAAAGGAGGAAGGAGTAGAAACTGCATTAGCTTTCTAAACACCAGAGGAGGATCAGACAAGCACCAGAGCAAAAGGGGGCATGGAAATATGTGAAGAGTGAGGAGGAAGGTGGAACCCAGCAGCACCAACTTAGAACCACAACCTTCCTTTCCTTGCTTACCCTGTCCTCCTCTGGTATATGGGTCCAGACATTCCTGCACAGGAAGGAGGAATTCAAACTGGAATAGATTCTAAAGAAATACTGGTGGGATGATCAGGGAATGGGGAGATAAAGGGGCTTGTTCAGCTTTGCTTAGGTTGTTTCTCATTATTAGAAAAGTATGGATCTAGAGTGCTCTTCTAATAAATACAGTGGGGTAAAAATCTGTGTGGGTTTAAGGTGTTACTTAAATTCAAATTGCAAAAAGCGTATATAATAATAGTAGTTAAGTGTGATAGCAGAGAATTCAATTAGATGAACCAAGAGATCCCTTTCAGTTCTATGTCCTGTAAGTCACATAGACCGGCTTAACCTGAAGTGAAGCCTTCTCACTATTTGTTGAGGATCCTTAGCCCACTGAAGTCCAGCAAAAAAAGTTCTTGTTTTTGAGTTCTGAAGTCTGTACAGAGTCACTCCAAACTTAATATATTTAGGTTCTTTCTTTCTTCATCTGTAATACTGCAGAAAGGATAACAGGAACCTTTTTTAATCATCTGTAATTCAGATTGAGTTTTCTTCCACTATGAAAAAAATCTTATTTTGCATTAAGAATAAATCTGATAGTTATCAGGGAAACTCCATATTCCAAGCCAAATTTTTAAGACCTTTAGAATAAAGCTGGCTGCAACCATAAAGGTTAGTGCCTCTCCATAACAGTAAATGGTATTTGGGAGGTAAATCAAGTGTTGCTGTTTAGTCTTTCCTCTAGTAGGAGAGCAATGGGGTGCTTGGTAAATTTGAAAGGTAATAAATATGAAACTGATAAAAAGTAATACTATTTTGACACAGCATATAATTAACCTGTAGTGCTCACTGCCTTGGGGTTGTGAGGCAAACAGCTTAGTGAAATTTCGGAAAGGTTTAGACTTTTATATGAGTAATAGGAACACACACAGTTGAATTAGATTAAAAACCCTGATCTTTAAGGTAAGTAGCCAGACAAGCTTGAGGGGAAAAAAATGGGTAGATTTTTTAAATGATTGTCCATTGTGAAAGTTTTTTACATCTTCCTCAGGTGTATCCTGCACTATCATTGCCACAGCGTCATGGGCTAGGTGTATTAGAGTCCAGTCTGTTTTCACAGTTCTTATGAATACATGATGATGTTAATGCCTCCTTTTCCTCATCTGCTAGAAACAGCGCAGTTAGTGTGCATGATCCCTTTTCTGATGTAAGTGATTCAGCATTCCCGAAGCGAAACTCCATGACGCCAAATGCACCATACCAGCAGGGAATAAACATGCCAGATATGATGGGAAGGATGCCATATGAGCCGAATAAAGATCCTTTCGGTGGAATGAGAAAAGGTATTTTCTTTGTGGGAGCTTAAGTGTTCTTCCCTGCTTCTATGTAATCAAGATGTTCTAGTTGTCAGAATGAGATTTTTTTACTTTGCTGATTTTGCCATTGGTAAAATGGTATCCTTGTAACAAAAGGAGAGGTGCAGTGCAATTGTGTTTCATTCTGGTCTGGTCATATTTTCCCCCCTCAGAGTCACACTGTTTATTTTAGATTTCAAAGAATCCTAAAAATGCTTGTAGGAATACATTTCAGGAAATAATAGCATAAATTCATAAGGTTAGATTTTATGCAATGCCGTATGTTTCTTGAAAGTGGTTAGCTACTCTGCAAATCAGATGCTGGACTTCAGTGTTAGAATGTGAAGTGGTGAAGCAACATGCCTGGTTGTAGTAGGGCTGAACTAGAAATTTACTGTACGGAACTGAGAAAGTCTCCTAATGCTCTCTGTCTCAGTTTACATACTTTTCAGAATAGGAAAGCTAATTTTTTTCTCACTTGGACAGCCCCTGACAAAAGGTGATAAACACACTCAAAGTTTGTTTATTTTTAGAAAGCAAAAATTAAAATTAATGTCAAACCTGACTCTTGCCCTTTTGGGCACTTAACCTACAGATGGTTTTGTGGAGATTGTAAAACGTGCTTAAGATGAATCAATCTTGCGTGCCTTGTATATAGGAAAGTGGGAGGAAAGAACACAAGCAGGGCTCACAATGGCTGTAAAGAACAGATGGAGGAGATGAAATTAAGAAAGTGGAAACTGAAAGGGAGCAAAAGGGAGGAATGGGAAGAAAAGGTCCAGAAATCAGGGGAAGAAAGATATGTGATGAAGTGCAGAGATGCTTTAAAAGAGATAGTTAATCCGATGTGATTTTTTTAAGCCTTCCCTTTAAATCCTTTTGCCTGGACTGTGTACACTACCATAACACAGTTGGAGGAAGGGAAAACCCTCTCTGCCTTAGATTCACTTTAGGTTTTATATCTATGTGAGATTAAATGGGTTTATTGCACTTTGTCATACATTTCCCATTTATCCTGTTGAAACAGAAATGTCTGTGTTCAGTATTTACTATGAGGGACTAAAGGATAGAGTCTCTTCCTCTGTTTGCTTGGGGATTTATATCTGATAATAGTGGTCAACATGTCTTCTCCTGGACCCACAGAATATGCCCATCCTGCTCAAGAAGCTACATTTGGATACAGTATCTTTTCCATAACCAAATTATGGTATACATGTGTGTATGAGGGCTTTTGGGAAAAAAGAAGAGCCTGATTCTGACAGCTTTGTAATCCAGACTATGAGATTTGCTTTCATCTGTTCTGTAAGCTTTATGTTTGAATTCATATTTAGCATTGTTTGGGGTGAAAAGAACAAGAGCGAGTTCATCTTCAGCTATGAAGACCACAGGGAAGAATCTGCCTGGTGCCTGATGAGCTCAGTTCCTTAGGATATTACTTTCCTTTCTTGCAGCTCCTTAATATTATATCCATCATCTTGGTAGTGGTGCTGCTTCATGTGTTTTCATCAGACCCTGGAGAGCTTGTCAGACACCAGCTAATTCTCCTCGGCAGTGTTAGAGATCTGAACATTATTTTAAAATACATCATTTAATAGAACAATATCTTCAAACACCCGGAATAATATATTTAATTTCCCTTACTGTTGCAGTGCCTGGAAGCAATGAGCCTTTCATGACCCCTGGACAAATGCCTAACAGTGGAATACAAGATATGTATAACCAGAGTCCATCTGGAGCAATGTCCAACATGAGCATGAGCCAGCGACAACAGTTCTCTTATGGAAGTGGCTATGACAGGAGGTGAGTCAATCTTCAGGAAAAAGGAAAGCCCATTAGTGAAAATGATCCTCTCTCTCCCCTTCTCATTTTCCCATTGCATCTTGCAGAGAACATAGCAGCCTACATTTCCTACAGCATCTTACTAAATCACTGGGATTCAAACTATTGGTAATGACTGAGTCTAGCTGTTCACAGAAATTAATAAGGAGCAATCATCACACCTTAGAAGTCACTCAAGCTGCAGCAGATCAGCACGAGGGTGTGTTTGACAGCTGCCTTCAGCTGGCGGCTGGGCTGTGATGGCATGAAGTAGCACTTGAGTTAGTCTTCTGGCCATGTTTTCACCTAAACAGTTGTTGGTGGCTTTTTATGAAAAACAAAATGCACAGCCTAAATATGTCTGGTTTGTGGTTTGTTAGTGACTTACCTTTGGAGAGTTTGGAGTCTGTTGTCTGAGCTGTAGGGGCACCAGTCTTGCAGTGTGGCCATCACTACCCTCGTAAGTGTGTCTTTCAGTGAAGTACAAAATAAATTTGGTCCTCCTTTGTTTATCCCAGGAAAGGCTTTGGGGAAAAAAAAAAAAATCAGTAAAATCACTGATGTCTAAGCAGTGGTATAGCAAGCAGAATGGTTTGGGAATGTTTGGAGAATATTAAGTATTCTGGTAGGTTTTGCAGCTCTCACTGTATTCCTACTTTGACTTTCATTAGGCTGTGTACTTTAGCTGCACTTTTTGTTTCCTGATGGTAGCCAAAGTGGTGCAGTGTGGGTCTTTTAAGTGTAACGGCAGAATAGTTTTCAGTCAATAGTTTGAAGTAGTAGATGTGTAGAGTAACACAAGTGTATTCATGTTGTTCAACGGGTCATGTTGCTGGGGAGTCAGTGAGAGTAAGGGTTCCAGTGGAAGGTGATAAGTGAATGTTTTCTTTAAGGGGTGTGTTTTGTTTTATTTTGTTGGCAATTTTAGCGAATAAGTGCTTTTTACAGAATGAGGTTTCCTTTGTCATTTTTTAGGTCGGATCATGGGCTGGGTCCTGAAGGCAGTATGGGACCACCTGGTCAAAGCAACATGGTGCCTTCAAACAGTGACCCAAGCATGTACTCTCCTAATCGTTACCCTGGCCAGCAAAGGTGAACACTGATTTCTCTGTTTGTAATATCTGCAATAACCAGCTAATGAGTTCTGGCAGCCTCTGTGAGAGCACATAGACAGAATACGTGGCCTCTTGGAGTGTTACTTCTGTTTTGTTTGTTCTTATTTAGGCTTTTACCGTTGGTTCAGTTTCGGTGAAGGCTTGGGTGAATCGGTTGACTTTGTGTAGCCATTGTAGCCATAGAATCAGAGATGTTAGAAAAGGAGTATACATCCTACCTTGTGTATCTTCCTCCCAACACTGAACTGAACATATTTTATAGGCCCAAGTTCTCCAGAGCAGCATTAAGTGACACCAGTTCTGAAGCTTCCACAACCTCACCTAGCTTGTGGTTATCCTGTGGCTAACAAGTTGAACATTTAGAAAGTGTTCTCTTATGCGTAACATACATGTACCTTTGCTCAGTTTTATCTTATTGCCTGTACCATCTTGGACAACTGCAGACAATTCCCTTCAGTTATGTTGTTCTTTTAACTTGCATTAGGTAATTTCTCTCCATCCATGTCATAATTTTAGAAGGTACTGAACAGCTATTCCTTTCACTCTGGTCAGCTCTCAAAAAATGTGAGTTTTCTATGCTTTTGGAAAAATTAGGTCCCGCTAGTTCTTTTAACATGTCAGGTTCCCCAGTCCTCTGTTTCTCTGACTCTCCCTGATACAGTACTTCCATAATTATACTTGAATTGTAGATATGTTCTCACTGGTAGTGTACAGAGGGGAATTACTGACATATTGGTCTGCAATACAGTGTTATTTATCAGTCTTAATACCTTCCAAGTACTTCATTTCAGCAACCTAAATTTCATTCAGATGTGCTAAAAATATTGCAGTTGCACTGTAGTGCTCCACAGAGGTCGTAAAGGTCACAGGTAAGTTTCCAAGTGCAACGCAACTCTGCCTCTTATGTGTACGCTTCATTATCTAGCTTTAATTAAAAATTACATGAACATTAGCAAAATTATGGGTACTGTTTTTACTCCGTAATGATGTATATAAATGTTACATACTGTAATGAAATGCGTACTTGCTTTCTGTCACTATCATCACACTAAAATAACGATTTCACTTTAAATCGGCAGTTAACTATTGATTATATTCTTAAATAATCCAGAAAGTAGCATGCTTGGAGACTGACTTGTTAAAACACAAGAATTTTGACTTGCAACCTTTCAACAATCAGATGCTTTTCTACCTAAGACAGGTTCCCAGTGGCTGCAGCTGCCTTTCTGACTTCTTTTCTGACCATACCCTGTTCCCATTCCTGACTGCTACCTCTAAAGCTCTCTGTTGCATCTTCACTGCTTCTCCTTTCTTCCTATCTGCTTTATCTCCTCCCTTGCACTACCAGCTCCAGCAGAGCTTTCTACATCAGGCTCAGGACCATACCACACTGTACCTTCATCTTGTTTCCAAATGGCAAATATCTTCAAGGTGCAAGATCATCAGAGCACTTTGCTTTTCCTGGTGGCTTGGAAATTCCAGCAGCTCTAAGTATTGATTTGAATGCTTCATTTTAGGCATGAACCATATGGGCAGCAGTATCCAGGACAAGGACCTCCCTCAGGACAGCCACCATATGGAGGACATCAACCTGGAATGTATCCACAGCAGCAGGTAGGAGAGGGGAAAACAGCTATATTCATAACATTTGTTAAATAAATGTCACCCCAAAATTCTGTATACATTCAAAAATCTGTTTATACAATATATGTCTTTTGGCACAGAGGAGCACTGCAGCTCTGGTCAAAATCACAGCCCATATGGATAAGCAGTGTATAGGCAGCTATAGAAAAATGTGTTCACTACACTGGAAGAGCGTAGATTTTAACAGATGTTCTGTGGCTTTGGATGTGTATCAAGTGAATGTCCCAAGTTAATAACCAGCAGACTGGGAAAGTATAATTCGTAGGCTAATAAAGTGATGCTGCCTCAATTCCAGAAACAAATAGGAAAGCTGCTTGGCTGGCAGGTTGAAGGGCCTTAACTTAATGTCATGCAGCCAAGTGAACCCAACAGAAAACTGGAACAAAGTAAAACATGCAGTTCTCTCAATTACTCAGAACGCTGGGGTGAGGCATATGAGATACCTATCTTTAATATAGATCAGATGGCACATTCCCCACGTGTTATCTCTAGTAATAATATGGTACAAATACACAAGGGAGATTATTAGTGTTAGAAATAGTTTAAACAGTTGTACATTCCAGTCTCCCTAACTGTGTAATAACTTTGAAAATACAAATTATATAATTAGTAAGATATTTTTTTTGTTAGTGTATCATTAATACCTTGTGGACAAAACCCATCTTCTAAGTCAATAGCAAAACTCCACTTCAACAGGATCAGAGTTTCATCCTGCATGTTATTAATTCATTTCTAATCATACAATAATTGAAGTTAGCTTCCAAAATAGAAGGCATTTCCTTATAATATAAAAATTAAAATGCAAGCTAGTGTTCAACCAGGTTCAGATAGTCCTTTTCAGTTTAGCATAGAGTTTTACTAGGAAATTCGGGGCAAGGGGTGAACCTCAAAGAGGAGATCTTAGGTTGCACTGAAATTGCAGAGATATATAACAGAACAGTTTGTGATATTTCATGCTAATGTATGCAGGGAATATATTAACTACACGTTCATTTAAACAAGGACATAGCTAGAATTTGTGAAAATAGATTTGGCCCTGTCCTTAGTGCTGTTTATATGCTTTGTCCAATGACTCTTGAATGCAAAATGCATTAATGCAAAAAAGCAGTGAAGAATGAAGGGCAAGGATCCTGGCCTTGGCCTCAGCCTCTCGTTCCCACTCCCAAAGGATTCCACTTCTTCATTTAGCTAGAGATTAAGTTGCCACTAGCTTATTTTCGATTTCCTAAATGTTACTCTATAGTGGTACAGGAAGAATGTGAAGAATGACCCTTTCAGACTTTATCTACAACCTGAAGGCTAGGGAGCGACCTGGGAAGGAAGTGCTTGGAGCATGAACTCCTGGGGCTAATGAAGCACGCTGAGCCAGATTTTTCAATTCCTGTACAAGTGCTCATAGCCCAAGAGCTATTATGCAGCAGCAGGTGACCTGTGTTGGTGTCTTTTTGTCTTCTGCAAGGTCTCAGAATTCCACATCCCTGGTGGAGAGAGACA